TCGTGCCAAGAGACAAGACTCTCCACGTGCTCACATACCGTGATTGAAGCAGCGCGGAGGCGTCCCCTCCGTAGACGTCGCCAGAAGGTAGTAGCAAGGGCTTGCTAGTACCGGGCAAGACGACGTGCCGGCGTCGGTTTTGCCAAGCTGTGCGATTTCCGCTAACACCCACGAATTCTTGTATCGGTGACGGGTTTCGTCGCAAGTGATTCTCTCGCAGTAGTATATTTTGTGCCATGCTCCGTTCATTCAGCTTCAATTCGATGATCATATGATTGCCCCTTGCGTTCGAGCACGCCCAAATATATTACTCTGCGGTTCTTTGTGAGTGCGCATGCGGCCCTGCCGGAAGCATTGGCCAGCAAGACGATGCACTCGCCGAATCAACGCTTTGAGAAACAATTTCTTACCCGGTACTTCTCCGCAGGGTGGCCCTGGCGACAAAAGTTCTGGAGAGCTCGACCCCGGGGTTGGCCGAGCGGCGCAGGGTGGACGCAAGTGCAAGCGGCGCACTACACCGGTTCTCACCCCAGAGCAGCAGTACACGGCGGTGTTACGGTGGACAGAAAGAAGCTTGCTGCATCGTTACGTCTGTCGCCCATCGCGTGATGCACCAAGGTAGAAAAAACATCAAATCCCTTCAACCGCAGCATCCAAGGTACCGTACAAGGCGTAGGCAGCATCCACGAAGAACGCTGCATAGTCGAACGCCGTGCACCAAATACCCTCTCGAGTTCAGGCGCCTCGACAAAAACACGCAAGCCTAATTGTCGCCTAAACCACGATGCAACATGAGCCTAAACCACGATGCAACATGAATGCCATTCGACCCCGCAAGCTCTCGACGCAATGCTGCATCCGAGCACCTACGTCACTTGTCTTGCCGGCCACGGAGCTACTTCAGGGGCGGCTTCTTTCTGTACCTGGTAGTCGGCTCTAGCAAGCTCGCAGAATTACCTTGCGGCTGTCGTAAAGTCGTCGACGTGCTGCTCCCGTGCAGTGTCGTACGAGCTTGCAGTGGGCATAGACAGGCACGAGACACCGTCGTGAGTGATTGGACGACGAACGAATGCCAACGCTTGGGAGGAAGCGCCAGCGCGAGCGAGGATGTTTACCCCTACCCCTTAAACAGAGGAGCAGGCTAGGCTCCAAGTATCAAGGTTGCGAGAAAGGGCTTTGATGGGTGGCGTGGACGGGGACGACAGACGACAGAAACAAGTATCTCGTTTCGCCATCGAGGGAATACACGGTAGGAAGAGTGGATTGGCGACAGTCAGTTGGAACAACACCCAGCGCGGGAGGAGTAGCTATCGCCGCCGGCTGCGATCGTGCGGTCCCTGGCTGCGTTCGAATCATTTTGCAGCCGTGGCTGATCGTGCGCGATGTATTGTATGTTGCAAGGCTGGTCGTGTAGGAGGAGTAGCGGCGTCGCCTGTCGGGACCAGCCACCATTCGTGTGGTCGCACGGCAGCCTCGATGTGGGACTACATACCCGAAGCTTGCGTCGCGCCACCCAGAGAACTGACGTGGCACCACGCTGGTTGACCAGCTGCGCGGATCGTCCCACGCCCACGTATGTGGGCAGGCACGTGCGCGTCGGTTGCCAGTGCGGCGAGAATGCCGACAAGGGCGAGGATGGGCACGGCAAGGTTGCATAAAAGCTTGTTCGGTCGCGCCCGTTGCCGTTGTCGCAGTCGACTCTCGCATATCGTCAAAATCCGGTTCGATTCAATTAAATAAATACACAACAAAGAGTCTAGATCGTGGCGGCGTAGTGGTAGCCCATACCATTGACAGGCACAAACTGCTGGCGCATGTACTGGTCGCTGCCCGACTCAAAGGCCGACGGGTCGTTGTAGGGCAGGAGGTCGACCCAGTTCATGTCGTTGTCGTCCCATTCGCCACCCGAGTGCGTGCTCGTGAGGCTCGTGACCGAGTCGCGAATGTTCTCGAGGTCGCTGTCGGCGATCCAGTCGAGCTCGTCGTGCATTGCCGTGAGGTCTTCGGCCATGACGCGTTGCGGCGCTGGTTGCTTCTTGCCCATGACGCGCGTCAAGTGCTTGTTCTCGTACGGCGACGCGTAGCAGTCCATCGACGCCTTCTGGCCCATGACCGCGGCCTTTTGCTTGTGGAGGCTCATCGAGTTGAAGGACGAGTCGAGGCTCCCGTTCGTGATGACGAGGTGCTCCTTCTTGATGGCGACAGGCGAGTCGCACGAGTAGTAGCCGGTCGGTGTACTGCAGCCGCTGCTCGGCGTGCGCGGGAGGCGGTGCGCCGAGTTCTTGCGCGAAAGCACCTTCTCTTCGTGGTTGTGGTGGTGGTGGTGGTCGTCGTCGGCCGCGAGCGCCTCCTTCTGCGAGCTCATGCT